CTGCCCTGACCTTCACCCCTGCAGACAATGCTTCCTTGCTTGTACTGCAAGGTCCAGCAGACCTCTCCATGTCTATCTTCACTTGGGTCAGGAAGTTGTCACTGATACATATCAAAAACCTTCTGGACTGCTCATACCCCACTGACTTGTTCCTCCAGCAGATAACAGACAGGATGGGTAAAGTCTCCTGTGAGGACCAAGGCTCTTTCCACTTATCTGAAGAGGACTTCTTCTGCCTCATCAAGTGGCTTGTAGCAGACACAACATTTCCCATATTGCTCTGCATGCCATCTTTGATCCTTTTCAGTCCCACAGTAAGGCTCCACTGCTCTCCCACACAAAGGCAACCTCTGCTTGCCATCTGGCTGGTTCTTCCTGCACAGCCTGTACCCAACCACAATGCAGCAGCCACTGCTGCGTTCCTGTGGCCACAGTGACATTGCAACCCTGCAGCTGAGCACAGATCTCCAATTCCTTCAATTTGTTCCACACACTTGAGCACAGGTGTGCAGGCACTTTGGAGAGGCACTCAGTCATGACATGCAAAAACCTATGAGAGCTTCCCCTTCAACGCATACAGAACCACATCAAAACCCATGGCAATTAAGTAGTGCTGCGTGATTGATCTGACTCCCAAACGCGCTATTTGGTCTTCTGTTAATGAGCTTTAATATCAGCTAGTTACCACTAGAAAGCACATGACTTGCAAAAATCTATGTGTGGTTGAAGAATTGTGTTGACAGTAAGTAGATAGCCAGGCACAGCCAAGCCTCCTCACGCTGACCTTACACTCTGCCAGCCTTGCATTGGCAGTCCCCAAAACACTTCATTTCAGTTTCTTTCCCAAAACATAAACACCAATCAAAAATAAAAATAAAAAAGGTGTGAAAAAACTAAATTTATCCATGGTTATTCAGTGTATTAAATGTAAAAATAGTATCGCTTACCAGAGGGGCAAACACGTGTAAAACAAAGCAGTACAACGCAAAGTTACTTACTATGCTTTCATAACTACTAGAGTAACACATTCTTAAAAATATATACATTGATGTTAGTCTTGGATTTCAGACTACAGTAGTTTCCAGCTTGCTGATTTAAGGATTGTAACATTTATTTTTCCTTCTCTCAGACAAATTAGATACTTTCAGAAGAAAAAAAAAAAGCCAGAATGTTACAGAAACGCAGGAGGCTCCCTTAAACGCAGCTTAAGAAAATGGCTGCCAAAGTAAGGAAGCTGCTGTACACATCCAGAGGCAAGACAAAGATGTACACCAAAGGGAAAGGAAGCTCACATTTCTGTTTCAAAAACAAAGTCATAATTTCCTACAGCATAAAGAAAAAAATAAAAAAAGAATAAGGCAAAGGAAGTGGACACTGGCTCACTCACAAACTGAGAAAGCAAGCACATGCACTTGCATCCAGTGGTCATGTTACTAATACTAAGCCCCAAAAGTATTATGCCTCAACTGTTTGGGGTGGAGTCTCAGACATTATCAGGATAAGTGAAAGGTCCAGAAACAAATGCTCCTTTAGCACAGCCCTCAGCTCCCAGGAGATGCTATACAGCGAGCTTTATTAGTAACAGTCCACAGGGACACACCCAGACTGCTCAGAGCCTGAAAGCTTAATGGCAGTAACAGATCCTGCTTAGCATGTGCAGGGAAGGCTTCAGGCTACCGCCCGCAGCCACCCATCCCCTTTGAGCCCTCTCTGGCTGCTGGGGCTTGGTGGGTGCTGCCTTCACCCACAGCTGCCCAGTGCCCTTCACCCTCCAGGCAGCAGCCACTCTGACCTGCTGGGATAGCTGTGAACAAGTGCGGGAATAAGCATTTCTTCAGCTTCAGCAGCTGCTGCCAGCACCCTCCCAGAAAAAAAAAAAAAAAGAGCCTAGAGTGCAGCTGATCTAATGCCACACTGGACTGTTCCTGCTCAAGTGAGGAATTCAGTGCTTGGGCCCCTCTTCCATCATCTTCAGCAAAGCACAGGGATAACTGCACTGATGTGACAGCTCTCCTCCTGCCATACAGCAGTGAGAGCCACCAGCACACTCCCAACCATGGCAAGCGGCCTTCAGACTCAGCACACACTAGGTTACCCAGGGCAGGGCTTTTAACTCACCTTAAAGATCACTGCTTCCTGCAGTCATCGCTCTCAGTACGTTCGCCAGGAAATTAAACAAATTAAATAAATGAAGTGAAGAACAGTCAAACCCACACAGGCTACAAAGTAATAAATGTCAAGTCAGGAATCTGAGATATAACTTTCAAAGCATGTAACAAATTTGTCACTTGAAATGGGTGCACAGATTCCTTTTTACATAGCTTTGTAGTTCTAAATCTGACTTTCAACACCAGTCTAGTAATACAACAGTACTGGTAAACAACTGAAAAAAATAAAGCAGACTTCAAAAAAGCAGCACAAGTGAACTTTGAAAGCAACATTTAAGTTGTACAGAAAGCTACTTTGCCATTTTACTGAACATTTAAACTTGTGCATATTGAGAAAAATGCAGTCACAACATGAAAAGTGCTATTCCACTTCTTAAATGTCACTAATGCAGCTCAACAAGCCAACTAATACACATTCAACTCTTCACATAATGGAAAGAATCATTATAAACTGTGTAAACTTACTTCTTATTAAAAGCATGCTTGAATTGTCAGAAATAAAACAGATCTCACTTCTACATCGCTGAGCTTCAGAAAATAAAGCATCAGCTTCTGAAGTCAAGAAGTTCTGGCCAGGCAATTCATGCCTGAGGGCCCTTCCACAGGCCAGGAGAACGTAGCCAAAAGCCAAAGTCCTGCCCTGCACCCTAATTATATCCCTCACCTCACAACTCCCCAGACCAGCTGCACAAATCAACCCTGGGAATTGGTTTTGCCTGACCCATCCCGAGACCAGACAAGGAGCAGGCTGAACTGGATTTCAGGAGCAGCCCTTGCTTCCATGTTGGATGAATGACTGGGCAACTGTGCTCCTCAACACAAATTTAATCCAAAATGGCAATCAGCAACTTTCTTCTGAGTCACTGGTGAAGCAGTAAGTGGAGAAAAGCACAACATCTTGCAAAATAATCAATCTTTACTGTTGGTTTTGCCTGGTTTTCCTCTCTTGGGGACATCTTCTTACATGAACATCATTAGAGCCTAACTTAACGTTCAAAAGAGATGTTTTAAACCGAAAAACTAGTACACAAAAGCTCTCTGTACTTATGTACTCTGCAGCTCAAGGAGCACTAATAGGTTGTGCTTTGATAAAAACAAAAAACCAAAAAAACAGTATTCTGTGTTTTGGCAATGTTTAAAGACAAGAAAGTAGTACAAACTAACCCGAAGAGGTGAAGAAAATTGTATTATTTAATTTCAAAGAAGCTAGATAACAGTGTGGGATATGAGTCTTCATAACAAAGGTCATCTTGAGGTTTAGAAATATCTTAATACCCATTGCTATGCTCAAATTGATCTTGAGTGCTCAGAAGGAACATTCCATGCCACGGAAAACAAAATAACTCTGATAAGCTCTAGCTTTTGAAAGTGATTTCAAGGAAGGGCTGAGAGTAAACATGAGAGCCTACAATTTAGAAGTTCTTCCTCTCACCACTGCCTATATCTACTGAAACAATAGAAATGTAACCCTTCTCCAGAAGGCACACCAACCAGCAGTCAGAACAGGGAGAAATCCAACCCAACAACAACTAACTTTTTTAGCCTTCTGTAATCTGTAGATGACCATTCTGCCTACCCTCCATTACGAAGGTACTGGAGCTTATACAACACAGCTGGCTTCACTAAATTAGCTCACAGCCAAATCAATTGATAGATGGGCTGCAGATGATATGCAGTCCCAACTGCAGGCAAAGAGACAGCTGACTCAAATCCAAAGCAAGCTTCTCCCTTCTGAGCAGGCAGCATAGGATTGTCATCAGTCAGAGGCCAAACAAACAAACAAACAAAAAAAAAATCAACAACAAAACCAAACCCAAACTATTATTTGATAACACACTGGACATCACCTTTCAAACCTCACTAACAGGGAAGGCATAAGAGCAAATTAAATAACAGAGAACCTCTTGGGATTTTAATGCCAAATCATGCTGCCCTGATCTATAGTCCTGCTGAAGTCGCTAGCCATAGGGTAAGAGCCTGATGACCATAACGTCTATCAGAGAAAGGACAGACACTCACTGGAAGCGACTCCAATGCTCGGAGGGACAAAGGACAAAGGCTAGCTAGCGCTCACCTCTGTTTAAACATACAGTTATTGCCTGCGAAGCACAGCATGGGAGCCTCAACGACTGTTTTGTGACAGTTACTCAGAACAGAGCTGCATTTTTTCTTAATATGGTTACAGCAGCTCATCAAACGCAGTAACGGCAGATTTACTAAGCGTTCTAAGGCAAGCTGCAACTTCTTAAGTTCCAGGCTGGCATCTCACTGACGGATGGTTGGAAAGGTGATGATATCTTCACTGAAGCAACTGGCACGGGATAAAGTTGCAAATACTCTGTCAGCAAACACACACCTCGTTTTCGCGGCACCGAGCACTCCTCAGGAATTACGGTTGTACCATGACTTCATCCTCCGTGAGCAAAAGCAGCGAAGCGGGCACGGCCTCCCCGCGGCAGCGTCCCCCGAGCGCCGAGCGGGCGGCGGAACCGCCCAGCCCGCCCGCCGGGCTGCGGCAGTGGAGCGGAGCCGGGGACAAAGCGCGGCCCCGCCCGCCGGCACCCCCAGCCCGCCCGGACCCACAGCCTCTCCCCTCCGCCCGCCGACCACCGAAGCGTGCCCGGCGGCGCTTCCCGGCACTACGGCGCGGCGAAGCCGGGCGGCCCCGGAGGCTCCGAACGAGGGGAAGGCGGCGCCCGGCCCGCAGCTCCCGCCGCCGCCCAGAAGCGCCCGCAGCACCGCGAAGCCGCAGCGCTGCCCACCCCGAGCGGTTCCCGCTGCCCCGCACGAAGGCTGCGACCTTCCTGGCCGCCCCCCGCCGCTGCCCCTCACCTTCCAGCCCTTCCATGGCGCGTCCCGACCGCCAGCGCCCAACCCAGCCCCGCTCCGCCGCCGCTGCTGTGGCAACGCCGCCACCTCCCGGCCCGCTAACATCCGCCGCTCCCATTGGGCGGCCGCAGCGGGCGGGACGGCCCTCAGCGCCGCAACGCCGGGCTGGGAGTAGGGCGGCTTGCTCCCTTCCTCTGCGCGGCTCCCGGCTGGCGGGGGGGAAGGGGCTGGGCCGAGGGCACGGCGGCCGGTGTGTGGTGCGCTGCCTTTGCTGGTGTGAAAACACGGGGCAGCCGAATGAAAAGCACGAAAAATGGTTTTTGTGTTTGTAGGCAGTCTTTTTCTCCTCATTAAAGAGGCACATATATGAAGGAAATGCATGTAGAATCATAGAATAGGTTGGGTTGGAAAGGACCTTAAAGATCATCTAGTTCCAACCTTCCTGCTGTGAGCAGGATTGTCAGCCGCTAAAGCAGGCATCAGACCAGGCTGCCCAGAGCCCCGTCCAACCTGCCCTTGAACACCTCCACCTCCTGGAACACATCCACAGCCTCTCTGGGCAGCCTGTTCCAGCACCTCACCACACAACAAAAAAGCTTCCCCTTACATCTAATCTTACCACCATTAGTTTAAAACCTCATTCCCCCGTTGTCCTAACACTGTCTACCAATGTAAAATATATATATATATATATATATATATATATATATATATATATTTCCCTTTATAATATCCCTTTAAATATTGGAAGGCCATAATGAGGTCTCCCTAGAGCCTTCTCTAGACTGGCCGAGCCCAGGTCAGCTTGTCTTTGTAAGAGAGGTCCTCTAGCCCTCTGATCATCCTTGTGTCCTTTTTCTGGAAGCTCTTCACTTCTTTCACGTGTTGAGAACCTGGAAAAGGATGCAATACTGCAGATGGGTCCTCCAAAGGTCAGAGTAGAGAGGGACAATCACCTCCCCACCGTTGCTGACCATCCCTCTTTGATGCAGCCCAGAATACAGTTGGCCTTCCAGGCTGCAAGCACACACTGCTGACTCATGTTATGTCTTTCATCTGCCAGGACCCCCAAGTCCTTCACAGCAGGGCCGCTCTTAAATTCTTCTCCCAGTCTGTATATATATCTAGGATTGCCTGGACAAAGCTCAACATCTTGCACTTGGCTTTGTTGAACCTCACTAGGTTTATCAGGACCTTTTGTGTTTGTCAGGGTAAGGGACTTCTCCCTTATCAACTGTACTACTCAGTTTGGTGTCATCTGCAAGCTTGCCGAGGGTGCACTCAATCCCATCATCTATGTCACTCATAAAGATGTTGAAGGGCACTGGTCCCATGATGGACCTCTGGGGGACACTGCTTATCACTGCTCATCTGGGCACAGAGCCAGAGACAACAATCCTCTGGCTGTGGCATTCCACCCAGTTCCTTATCCACGGAGATTCTCTCATGCTACAAGATCAACAAGGCCTGCTTTTGGAAAACAATACCACTGAACTGTCAGTGACTATGCTTTTGTGGTGCTTTTTACCAGAGCTCCTTTTCATCTGGTAAAACTTCACGTCTGTAGCAATAGAAGCATTTCAATAATTTTTTAGTATTACTTTTTAAGCTCCTTTATTTTTCTTTATGGTGGCAAACAAATTTCTCATTGTAAGCAATAATAAATCTTACCAAAATTATATCTGTCTTTTCTGTGCACTTTGAAATCATGGCTCTGTTTCTTCTAGATAAATCAGTCAATCCATATTTCCTTGTCCAAAGAATCACTGTTACAATCACATGAGCTCCACAGATCTAAGTGCTGCATGCCCAATATTCAGCATGTAAACTATGACAAATATATGTTTAAATCATCCATTGAGTCAAAATTTTGAAGATGTGCAGTAACTCTAGCTACAGTTTCTCTGGGTGGTTCAGAACCATGCTGAAAATGCATTTCAAATTTGCTTTTGATCTGTGGAGCTCATGTTTGTAAAATTACAGGCCCTGGCAGAAGGAAGTTATTTGCCACTATGCTGCAGAGACCTAATGTTTGCAAATTGTCCATTAAATCTTTGTCATAAAACTTGAAAGAGCCAAGGTTTGTCATAGCTTCCAAATGCTGGCTGCTTACCTAGCTATGAGAGTAGCAAGCAGAAGTTCAGTTTCTTTTGTGATATTTCCATACTTGGGCTGAAAATTCAAAAGCAGAGGCTTAGGGTAATTTCATCTTTCAGCACACAAATCCTTTATAATGAAACTGTAAGCACAACTTTTATCCTATGTTTGCAATGTAGTGAATAGTTTTTATTAGGTCATTTGGCTTGGTTTGGTTTCTTGTTTCTCTTTGAAAAATGTGGTTGTTTTTATTAGAAACCAGAGCAGAAGATGACTTCATCTCACCCAGTTTTAAGGGTCTGCAACATGGTGAGCTGAGCTTGTCAGATTTCCCATTATTGTCAATAGGAATTTGTTTCTGTGGATTATGTATTCTGTGGGATAAAAGTGAGATCCATCTGGCCAAACATACTGCCTTTTTCAGGGTGACATGAATCAGAGCCAAACCTCTAGCCAGAGGATGAATTAGACTTACTAACTCTGCACTAACTACAAACTGAAGAGGTATTAGTGCCAGGTGATGAGCTCAAATGTAGACAACACCCACATTAGAGTAGTCAAATCCTACCCTAGATGTCTTCAGACTGGATCCTGTACTGGAAATGGATGTACTGCTTAGTTTTGCTCTGCCAAGGTGCCATTGACTGACTGTGTCATTTCATTACTCATCTGAGAAGTGAAGGACGTAAGAGATGACTTACAAAGCTACTAGGCAAGTGGCTGTTCTGCAGCAAAACTGAATGATCCTCCTGTTTTCTGTGGCTGGTGTCTGAACATCTGTTGTGCAAATATGCACATGGACAGCGTATCTTAAAGGATGCCCAATACTGGGACTTTCAGTTGTTGTAAATATACTCTATTATCATTGCCACCATGTCACACTCATAATTTTATCTTATTTACATATTGGAACAAAACAAAAAACAAACAAAACAAAACAAAAAAACAACAAAAAACCCCATGCCTATACTACTTTGCTCTAGACTTACTACTCCAAAAGCAAGTCTGACACTTCTATAATATTTAGGATTTCCTTTCTGAATTATATGCTAAATCTATTAATTACTCGTTTGCACTTTGTCTTCTTTTGCCATCACTGGTTTCTAGTTTAAATATTTTCCTCATTGTTTATCTCTTTGATGTATTTATAGGCAATTAGCCTATGTTCTGTTCCAGTATTTGCCTTGTTAGCCTAAACAAAGTAGAGCTCTTCTGAACTGTCTTAATAAACTGTTTCCCATTTCAGTAATCATCATGGTACCCTTTTTTTTTCACCAACCTATACCACATTCGTTTATATTTAGAAGAATTATAGAATCAGAGAATCATAGGGTTTGGAAGGGACCTCTGGAGATCATTGAGTCCAACACTTCTGCTAAAGCAGGTTCCATACAGAAGGTTGGATAGGAAAACCTCCAGGTAGGTTTTGAGTGTCTCCAGAAAAGGACACTTCACACCTTCTGTGGGCAGACCGTTCCAGTGCTCTGTCACCCTCAGAGTAAAGAAGTTTTTCCTCATACTCACATGTGTAAGTAAGATACTTACAGTATCTGCTAGAGTTCTTCACTTCTGATGGGAGTATTTCTACTAATGCATCTTAGGTTACATTTGCTATGGTATTGTAAGCTTGTAGGCTCCTAGTCTATATATAGCTTCTTTTCCATATCAGCTGTTTTGCAGGGGCAACAATGGCAGGAATTTTTGCCTTTAGTCAGTAGTCCGCCTCTAGTCTGAACACTTTCAGTTCAGTTTCTTCAATATCTCTGAGAAGGAACAAGAAAGCATGGCCCTAAGTGTAGTGGTCGCATTTTCCCCACTCACATCATTAGAAGAGTGGAAATATAAACACTGGCATAGACCTGACCAAATTCCAGGAGGAATTCCAAAGGAGGTGAGAGCTGCACTGCAGTCAGCTCAAACATCCAGCAGGAATATAGAGGTACCCTCTTAGCTTCAGAGTCGGTTTCCAAAAGGGCTTATGTGTCTCTCAGAAGGCTATTTTTTCAGGAGAGTTTCTCAGTTTTAGTTGGTATAAAAGAGGAGCCAGCTGCCAGGGAGAAGTTCTGATCTTGTGACAGATTATAAAGGCCCAATTTCCCTGCCAACTGTGGGCATAGAAGCAAGTTACAGCTTAGTCTTTGGTTGCATAAGGCAATATTTTCAAAAGAGACAAGAGAGTTGGAATTTTGGTCTGAGGTGTGAAAGGGTCATCAGTTTCAAAATCTACATCTTTCTGCCAGAATCTGTCAAGGCCTGCTGTGGAAGAACTGCAGGACCATACACACAGGTCCAAGATGTTACTGTATGTGAGACTGTCTCTTTCCTTGTTCACTGTGCTCTTGACTTGACACAAGGTACTCCAGCTCCTTCTTGTGTGCAAGCTCTACTTCTCTACTTCTCATGCAGCTCCTCGTATGTAGAGATAATTGGATTATGATGATCTGAAAGGTGCATATTGATAACAGGATATATTTAGTAAAATGCAATGGGAATTGAATTCTTGCCCTTACTCATGTGGCCAGCAGTTACTCCAGGTAGAGGGCTCCATGAAATAGACTGTAAAACTTTTAAATTGTTTAGGCAGGCCAGCAGGACTTGTGGAATAAATATCTACATATATTTTAATATAGCAGATCATCTAAACTGAAGCATTCAAAAATCATTAGTCACCTTAGAAAGTGACTAAAAAGTCCTGGGATCCAGACTTTGGCAATGCATTGTCCTAGATCTTTGCAAACCTGTGCAAATCCCTCATTTGGGTCAGAAGAGTCGTAAAACGTCTAAGTCTTGTAAAATGATCAGAATTCCATTAACATTTCAAATGCTTTCCTCCACCATTTAAATCCTTGTCACAATGACTAAGATCTTTACAGAAAATCAAAACCTGTTCTCTATCTTTCATCTTAATAATGAACATGGGATAAAGAAGGATTTCCCAAAGTGGCATTTTAATTAATACACTTTGCACTCACACTAGCTACTGGGAATTCAGATATGCTTGCACGGGGGAGTTTAAAATTTAAATATTCCTAATAAGCTTTTTCTTACAATTAACACTAATTGAGGACTACAGACAAGAATGATTACTTTCCTACTGAAATAATTCCTCAATTGAACTACTATAAGAGTGCCTTTTGTTCTTCTTT